ATTAAAACATGCTGTTCCACAGCACTAATATTAAACTACGATCCCATTAACCCCACTTATGGCGCAGGGGGTAAAAAGTGATGATACCAAACTTTTCGCCGGACAAATGAGCCGAGTTACAAAAAATGTGATCCCCTTCACATAAATCGCGCAAAGGAGGGTTAATCTCAACTTAAAATCAGACCTCACTCTTGTTTTCGTGAGGTTTCTGTCGGATATAAGGCTTACTGTACATTGCACTTTGAGAAACTACTTCCCTATAACATTAGCGTAATCCGATGGGAAAAGTGTACTTGTCTTTGGTGGAAAACATGTAATATCTACAGTTTGATATACAATTAAATTCTTATTACTAAATTGATATTTACTTATTTAATCAATTTACCACCTAGTACGCAAAGAGTTTGACACTTCCTCTTACCTCAGCCAAGGCAGAAAACTGTTAAAAACATTTTCAAATGTGTAATAATAATTATATTCTTATAATTATAATTTTCTTCAAACCGTTAAGAAAAGAGCGTATTCCTTTTTATAAGACCGGCAACGCACCTGTGACTGGCTGTAACTCCTCTGGTGTTGCGGGTGTCCATGGGCGGCGCTGATCGCTTACCATCAGGTGATCCATCTGCTCGTTTGCCTCCTATTCCATAAAAAAATATTATTCTCCAAAATCGGAACGTATCTACATGTCACTATGGTATAGACGTATAGAGGGTGTGCCTGTTGTTGCTCAAAATGGACATATACCTATCCCCTCGTCTTATCTCTGTACTATAATAAGATCAATATTTTATAACAGCAGGGAATAAAAGGATCACCCTTTAGGGATGCATGCTTGCAATTTTTCACCCAAAAGATATCTACTTCGGTATGCAAACACCTTTACTATTCAGTGACAAGGCAGATTTAGGTGGTGTGCGCTTCTCGGTGACATCGCCCGGTTTTTCAGTGTGTTTGTGCCAAAACGTACCTTCGAATTAGGAAGTTGTTTGACGCCGAAATTCACAGATATTCTAATTAAAATATTAGCAGCCGAGTGTATCTCGTTTCACTCTAAAGTTTAATGTAAAATTCGTGTCAGTGAAATATGTCCTAAAATTTCTAAGTAGCTTCATTTGAAATTTTATATTTTCAGGCAGGTTAAAGACAGTATTTTTTTATAATTTTAAAAAAGTATCAATCATATGTGTTACTAACCTCCGACTTTTTCTGTCTGTGGTTGGGGTTCATAAGCTGTAAACCTTTTTTTAACCCCAATGTTTAAATCCTCATGGAGGCCCCTCGCCTGGGGAGGACGAAAGGGACTGTCAGACTCTTACTGACTAAAACCCACCCCGGTGTCCCGTCTTGCGGGAGTCACATTCATCCGCAATAACCTGTAAACCTAATTCAAAATGAAATACAAATAATAAATGCTTTTTCCCAATGCATAGCCACAAAATTCAAGTTTATTTACGTTTTACTATCTACTAATGTATCAAAAGACAGCAAATCAATAAATCACAAAAAATATATATTCTATTTTTAAACCCATAAGCTATCAGTCCCTCGTCACTAACGAAGTATGAAAAGTAATCTCACGAATTTCCGCGTTCTTCTATTTCCAACACACTACAAACAGTTCACTAGTTTTTTATAAAAATGAAGTAACCGACGTGTATCTAAACACATCACTATGTTTACGAAGTTTACAAACCAACAACCAGATATTTACAACTCAGAAAAAACCTATTCCACCATTTTCAACTTTATTCCGTAAGCTATATGATCGATGATTAATTTTGTGGACTGCATGCTAAGTTGGTTGTAAAAGTAAAGATTAATGATAACCAGCCAGTGCATATGATTGTGTATAATAAAACCAGTCATCTGGTCAAATTAAAGTCGTTCCAATTTCAAAATTTTCGAATTTGGAACCACGGGAAGTGTATAAGTGTGTGTGTATACAAAGTAACCTGATTTTTGCAGTCGCTTCATTAAAACAACATCAATTTGACTTTCATGTTATTTTGGAGCCTTAGGGACTTGTATTCTATATTCCGTGGGGACATCACACACAGTAAAGGCACAGACACGACAAGGCTCTAGCACGGTGTGTCTTTAGCTTTGGAAACTATACAATGACACGTGCCAGCTTATATGATGTGTAAAGGTAAAACATTTATGATATCGATGGTTGACTTCCTCGATGGCCGACTGGTCGCAAGTACGACTGCCAAAGGGTCACGGGTTCGATTCCAACATAAATCGTGAAAAGTTTCAAATATGTCATATGACATACGGCTTAAAGTTCAAAAAATGACAAGTTAAGCAGTGGATTGGAGCCGGGTTGGAGCAGTGTCGGTACCTTAACCGCTTGAATGTCAGTATATGCGACACAATAAGGAACGCATTGTGTTCGCGTAGATTTGCGTTCCGTCATACCACGGGTTATTAACAATAAATCTCTTTCGAGTATTTTGATCACATATTCAAAAATACATAAACATAAATCCGATCAACGTAGTGGAAAACAACAATCAAATAAATATTACAGAACTCATTAACGTTATTATTAATAAACATTGTAGATAAGATCACAATATACGACTCAGGATTTACAAGTACAATATCAAGAGGGTACTTTAAACTAACTATATTAGGATTTCAATGAGACATTAACTTAATGGTAGAATTCAATCACTGCTAGCTATTTAAAATAACTGCAGTACTAGATCAAGCTATGCAAATCCAGTGTAAGCTGACCCTCCAATGTGCGGCAAGATTATACAAAACGAGACCTTGATAAACTGGTGTTATAGCTGTGTTGAACACTGTCAACAAATCTTGAAGACTTCAAATCGATTCAACATGATCTGAATACTGAATAGTATTTTTGTGCTTCTTAATCTAAATGCTCAGGTGAGAAGACGCATACAAATGTTTTTAAAGTAAAAGATAAACATTGTCAAAGGTGTTTAAAAGAGCCATTTACACTTTAACTCAGTAGTAATGGGATTTAGAATAATATTCTGTTTAACGCCAATATTAACTTTGGAAAACGAAATAAATATTGTGGTAGTCACAATTCTGGTTACGACTCAGTGCTGGTGATAAATTAGTCGGAAAAATGATACATGAAGAAATAAGAATAAATTATTAATAAGGATCTAGATATTGCTGATATGACTGCACGGTTGGCGCGGTGGCTGGGCAACTGGCTGCCGCGCAACGTGTCGTGGGCTCGATTCCCGCACGGAGCAACTCTTTGTGTGATCCACAAATTGTTGTTCCGGGTCTGGGTGTCATTATATGTATGTCAACTTGTATTTTTGTAAACGCACCCACGACACAGGAGAAAATCTTAGTGTGGGGCAACGTTTTAATAAAAAAAAGTATTTTGACACGAACATGAACCACAATTAAACCTGATGCCCAGTTCGAAACTGTTTTGTACCACTGGCTCTAAGTTACATAATACAGTAGCCATATAAGAAAAAAAAACAAAAACAAATAAAACTCCATTCACACCAAGGTGTTATCAGGATTCGCACTCACTTCCCTTGTTCAAACGACTTGGGGAAGTGCATGAATGCTTTGGGGTCTCGATAACATGTATGGGAAGATATTAGGGGTACGAGGTGAACCCTTGTTCCCATAACGACGTCTTGTGGTAGGTACATATACAAGGTGTAGTTTTGAAACCGTTTTTCGGGGGCATGTCACAGAAGTCATAAAGGTTCAATGTAAGAGAAAATTTCGGGCCAGTAGTTAAAAATACTGCTATAATAAATCGTTTAAGTTCGACAGTATTTCAGAATAAGCGACAACAATGTTCCTTATTGGAGTTTTATGGAATTAGGAATAATATCAATTACGTGTTTGAGTTTGTGTGTGTTAAGCCGCGTTAGAAAGCTAGTTACAAGACGGCGGCGTGTACTTCGCACTTACGGCTTTCCGTAATTTCAGAAAAATGAAAAATATTTACCTACAATTTATTTTTTAATTCGAACTCAGAATCAGTATCCGGGTTACCTCCTAAAATTGACGCGGCTTTAAAACAACACCTTGTATATGCAATTAGGATCATTGGTACATATGCTTTCATCAGAATCTGTCTTGAAAAGTGGAGTTTTTACGACCCAATGTTTTTAGCTTTTCGTTTATGTTAATGGAAACGGTAAAGAACTTAATGATTAATAAAATTTCTTTTATGTAATTTATGATATGAATTTATTAAATGTTGCTACGGAATCGTAAAAGGTTTCCTTGATGGCGGAAAAGATAATTTCTTGGATATAAAGGAACGGAAAAACATAAGTTGTAATAAAGTTTATAATAATTATCTAAAACTGTTGTTTCTTTAGTAGTTTTTCGAATGTTGTTGCTTAGAGAAATTATACTATAAATTCTGTCATTACTTACTTTCGAAATCCCTTGATTATTTGAACCAAAGTCAAAATTATTTATTTCAAATAAACCAGGGAGGTACTTTTGAACGTCAACAAAACATTTAAAGTGGAGCTATTTGCTCACTCCAAGGTGTAGATTCCTATTTAAAAGAACAAGCAATGTTTCACAAAGAACAAGGAGTTTCTAACTCCATAGGTTACTTTTTTCCATTAGGTTCACAATACAATGTTTAATTACACAGTTTTGTTTGTGCAATTGTGTGAGAACTATAACACCAAAATCCAGTCAGAGACCGAAAAAAAAAACCCAAAGGACAATAAATTCATATAATCCGGAGGTGACCAGTCCCTGATCCCTCTTTGACACTGTGTTATTTTTTGTATCGACCTCAAACCCTACGATTAGTCAGAAATGCGACTTTTTAGTCAACAATTCATAATTGATACTCATTATTTTTCTCCAATACATGTAATCGTCATATCAGCCATGGGACGTCCACTGCTGAACATAGGCCTCCCCTAATGGCATCCAGATAGGCTGGTTGGAAGCGACCTATCAACATATATGTAATAGCTATATTGAACCTAATTATTTTCTTTTATTTCTAGATCTCTTCGTTGGCCTAATCTACGTGTTCCCAGACATAATACAGAAGATAACTATTGCGTGGCTGGCCGGAGAATTTATGTGCAAAACTGTGAAATTCCTTCAGGTGAGTTACTAATTATGTAAATATCTAGTGATTTGTAATCAAAAACTAAATTATTTTGCACGAATAACTCATAAAAATTTAGTGAACAAGAAAACTTAGTGGGTTTTAGATGAGATGTTTTAATGGAATTATAAACCATGAGATGAAAGTGAAACCGGTGGAATTTTTTGGTTTGGATAAAATTAAAATAACAGATAGGACGTTAGGAGGTTAGTCTGACCCTTTATTACATGGGACTCATAACATAAATGGTAAAAAGTGGGTGTTACGTTGTACAGTGGCATAATGTGCACCTCTGCCTACCCCCTTAGGGATAAAAGGCGTGATGTTATGATATGTAGATAGAACGTTAGGAACTTTCAATTACTACTTAATAAATGGGATGAGACAAAGTTTTGAAGTTATGTCTACTAAAATAGAACCAACCGGCTATAGAATAAAGAATATCCCAAGTTCAGATAAGACATTTAGTTCACCTGCGACCAGAAAACTGAACCTATCTGAAAACATTTCTTCCCCGTCAGAATTTTAATAGAAAAGGGCGTATATTTTAGGACAAATATTCCAGTCACGTCACTTCAAGAAGATAAGATGAATGATTAGATGACACTGATAGTAACACACAAAGTAGTCATATGGTAAAGAAGCTGATAAACTTGAAACTTAGTTTGAACTAAATAAGACAACAAAATTCATATCTAAACTAAAAAATACATAAATAAAATGTAGTAACAACAACAGTTGACTGTAGTTTAGTTCTTTAAAGAAGTTAATTCAGTGCCAAAGCAAACAAAAAATATTTAAATCGGCACGCGGTCTGGTAACTGAAGTAATAAATAAACAAATGTATCAACGAGCATCTGTTGTAGTTTCTGAAGAAGAATTCGATATAAATGTACTGAGAAGTCTAAATAAAATAATATTGAAGTCATAAGAAGTAATAGTAACAGATAGTGAAGAAGGCAATGTAAACTAAAAAAGAAAGAGATTAAAAAGAAATGATAAAGTTGAGTAGAAAAGTAAATGATATGAATAATAAAGCCCATAATAGAAAAAGAAACGGTATATTACGAGATAATTATTACGCTAATCACACACATGTCGCATTAAGTCACAATAAGGAATAATAAGATAATACGAACAAAATTACAATTTTGCACAAAACAAATTAAAGGTTATTATGGCCCAAAGAAAACTATAAACACTCTAGATAAAATAATAAACAATTTAAAAGTGAAAACTTTTGATCCAAGAAAGGAGAACCTATTGAATGTGATATAAAATTAGAAATAGCGCATTATATTGCAATTTTAAGACTTAAATATTAACTATACTTTTCATAGTAACAGTAACATTATGTGTAGCTAAAAGTAATGACAAAAACACAATCAACGACACTTTTGCTTGATGATATAATTACTGTCAATATGCTGAAATTTTATCAGGACCGGACTCTATATTCCACAAGTATATGTTTTTGATAAAATTTTACACACACAAAGCACTCCCAAGAACTTTTTGCTAACTATTAGGAGCTTATCATTCCAAAACAGCCAGCGAGACGGTCTGGATTACCACATTAATCATACCTGTCGTGACTTAATTAGGGAATAATATAATATTTCGAAGAACAAAAAAAATATTTGCTTTAGAAGACGAATTTTCACATTACTTGGTAATTTTCTACCCATTAACACGAACAAAAGTGATATTTCATCTTGTTAAGTTCATTCATAAAAATAAAATTAAAATTAATAGCAAAAATTGCGAAGAGACTATAAGATATTTAAAAGTTTGGCTCAAGAAAACCCCAAGTTTGGTTATGGAGATAATTTTACGAGTGCACTAGTTCTCAACTTTAATTAGGGTTCGGTAAATTAAGTTGGAGAGCTTAGTACAAATGTTTTTAAGTTTATATAAGACTAGCAGCCCGTCCCAGCTTCGCACGGGGTCGACAATTATTTATTTTTGGAAATTTGGATTGTTGTAGTGACATAACTACAATAGTTGGACATATTATTTTTATTTTATTTATTTACATGCTACCGTGGAGTTTTTTGTAGACTTTATGATGTTCTTCAATATTGTTGTACATTATTTTGTTCTATCGCTAATAGTTGCGGCAGCGCATTCGACGAAAGACATTTTAAAACTCATTTTTCTACACCTTCGGTTACATTGTTCAGATTTTACCAAGGATCCCAATTTTTTTTTTCCAAAATTAAATGTAGCCTATGTCAAATTGGAAGAATGTAGCATTTTATTGGTGAAAGAATTGTTTAAATCGGCCCAGTACTTTTTAAAAAGTAAACATACAAACATACAAAAATAGGTACAAATCTTTCCTCTTTATAATATTAGTATAGATATATAGATATGTTTTTAGATAACGATGTTCTCTGGAATGATAATGTTTATGTCTAATTGGTTGGTCGTCTACTTAGTGTTGCATCATTATTTATTACTAGCTTTCATACGTTTTTTTTCCGCGTATTCACACACATTTATACACAGGTATACAGATTACTTCGAAGATGACTAATAAAACTTATTGTTTTTATTTTGTCTCCAGGCTGTGGTGATGTACGCGTCGACGTATGTCCTGGTAGCGCTGAGTATAGACCGGTGTGATGCCATCACGAATCCTATGAACTTCTCTGGAAGCTGTAAGTACTTACATCAGGTCATATTCGTATGTTTCCCAAAGGTTTTCGGTATGTTTATCTATTCAAGTCTATGGTAACGTAAGTACTCTTAGTGCTCTTAGACAAATAGCATTTAGTATTTTTTTTTCTTCTCCTCTTATGATATCTTCTGATTCACTGCGTTGCGGGAACCAAGACAGTTATTCATGTTCCTGGGACGCGCCGGACTTCAGTGTTCTGGTGTTTTTATGGTTGTATCTACTGCAGATCCTGGCTTACAGGAGTTGCAGCGGTTTTGCGAGGTGGAAGCGGGCTTGTCGCAAAAAAAATCATTTAGTAGCCATTTAGACACGGGACAGGTCAAAATTGAGGCCAGTCCAAGATGCAAAGAATTTTAAATTCTCCATAATACTTTAAACAATCCGGGAACTACAAGCTTGTGTTCGGTAGAGGTACTCGAGTCGTCTTACGAAACTAGGAAACTAAAAATACATTTATATTTATTCCACTAAATATAGATCACTCGAATTAGATTTCGTTGAAAATAATGTGATATTATTCATAATGGATTATTTGTGTAACAAGACACTTGACAATATTGTCATTTAACAGAGTAATATTCTGAACTTGTTTATTACTCAGAAAGTAATAAGAAACTTGGTGTCACGAGTAATAAAATATCTTTATGTAAGTACTAAAATTAGGACAAGTCATGTTTAAAAAGTTGAATTAAGATGTTAAAAGAATGAACACGTTTTATTGACTATAAAAATTAAACACTGAATTTAGTGTTATGAAGCTTAACGCGAAATGATATTACGTGTTCTTTAGATAATAATTATGTGCTTACATTTATAAGCATTATTGTGATATTTTTTAAGGTTTTCTATTACCTTATGAAAAGGTTTCAGACGGTTTAATTGGATTGAACTTTGCCCTGAAGCTAAGTTTGCTCTAATAGTTAAAAATGCTACAATATTAGTTTATTTTTATTAATTTCTAAGAGAATATAAATTATTAGGAAAATTATAATTTCTATATGATGTCCAGTATGTGTCATTATCAAATCTGACGATATCAATGTTTGCTTGCGGGCTTGAATTTAAATTGTCATTTTATTGCGTTACAGGGAATCGGGCGAGGGCTCTCATCGTGTCAGCATGGCTCATCAGCATTGTGTTCTCTATACCACTTCTGATACTCTACGAGGTGAAAGAAGTTCAAGGTGAGAGAATTTTGTAGCATTATATAACGTAACGCCATTGTATGTGGACATAATAGGGTAGTTTCCTAAATTTTATTTTAATATCCGTCTGGTACATTAATATAAAACTTTAGTCACGTATTTTTTCTTGTCTCGCAAAATTAAATACTTTCGACGATATATCATTTGAAATATCGTGTGACGTCACAGCGTGCCACTTTTTGTAGCACGTTATGACGTAACAACCTCCCACTCCTAGCGCCATTTTATATAAGTATTGCAACTTAGAGAAAATAAAAAATTACGTGTCTAATATTTTTTCATTATTTAACTGACAGACTAATTAGATTTTTAATTTTTATACCCTGGAAACTACCCGATTATACAATGTACTTTTCAACAGTTATGACTTTCGTATAACTGAGGGTTAACCTATTGTAGTATGAACCTTTCTCTAAACCAATTTTTTTATTCCTCTAGAACATTTGGTACACTACACCTCTATAGATATCTACCACAAAATATATTCTTAATTTTTTTAACCAATGCCATGAAATTCCCACTCCCAAAGTGTCGCCTCATTTAATTCGTCATTCAGATTGATGACGTCTCTCACAGCATTAAATTTACCCCACAATCCGACAAATCAAACCAAAATAGGACGACCCTATTTTTTTCATTTCAACCGCAAGAAATGAGGGAAGGGCTCAAAGGAGTATGGTTAATGAAAAAATGTTCTACTTTCAAATATTGACCCACTTCCGTATCGAGTTACGTCTTAAAATCGAATTGACTTTTAGAGATGTCAATTTGATTGAATTTGGAACCCCTTATTTCACATTAGCTGCACGAATTGTTTTTTTCACCTAGTTACCTTTCGGCTTTCCGTTTTTGTTTACATCGAGTAATATTTGAGATCGTAAATTATGTTACTTCAAAAATACGACGCCATTTATAATTTTGTGGCTATTGCAATTGTATCAAAACAAATAATTGCTAGTTACATTATAATGTACAATCATATGAACCAACAAAAATTATGCATTAATAACTTCTTATTAAGTTTGAACTATGAATACCAAATCTATATATTTGAATACATTTACACTTTTAAAAGTCTATAACAGTTTTTCTTCCTACATCTTCTAGGTCAGATGCAATGCTGGATAGACCTAGGAACTCCTAGAAGATGGCAGATCTGGATGTCTCTGATATCCATCATGATCTTCGTGCTACCAGCGTTGACGATAGCAGCCTGTTACGCTGTGATAGTCCTCACTATATGGACGAAGAGTAAGGCAGTCGTTATGAGTCCGCCTATTAATTCTAGGAGAACCAAGACTATGAGGAATGGTGAGTGTATACATATTTCAATTTTTAACAGACTCCAAAAAAGGTTTACCTCGTGATTTGAAAAGATTTTTATGTAGTTTTCTGAAAAGCGTTCTTATTAAATTTAGAAGGTTTTAGTATATTAATCGATCGAAGTTTTAAAAGTCGGTTACTTCAAAAAAAGAGGGTTAAACGTAGTTTTATAGATATGATTTCGTAATTTCTTAGTAAAAGATACTATTAGATATCCAACTGAGCTACTATTAGATACATATGAGTCTTCGCCAAATTACACATCGTCTTACCACACGACAGCTTGTCCTCATTCTCTGAAAGCTAATAATTAATGATTGTTTGGCTTGTACGTATTGCAAATGAGTACTTGCAAAAAGATTTACATTAGAATCTATATAAAAATCAATTCCCAAAAAAGTACAGCAGAACCATAACATTTTCAATACAAAAAGAAATCTATAAACACGCACTTTGGTCGTAAATCAAACAACACCACATTTCCTCGAACATAGCCTTCTAAACCGCTTACCGACACACGAATGAACTTGAAACATTATTTTTACATCGCCCTTCTATAAACCAGAAGTGTTTATAGACAAACAACTAAAACCACACAATAAAACAGAAATACCACTTAATCCTAGAAAATGTTACAAGAAACAGATGGTTGATGTTAATGAATTCTTTAAATAGAATGAAGATGAACGTTATAACAATAAGTGTGGGAGAGCCATGCTTCGGCACAAATGGGCCGGTTCGACCGGAGTGATACCACGGCCTCACAGAAAACAAACGTGAAGCAACGCTTGCGTTGTATTTCGTTACCGGAGGCCTAATTACCCTCTTCCTCAGGATCCCCAATCCCCAAATCCTACACAATCCCCAAACTCCTAATTCCCAAAAGGCCGGTAACGCACTTGTAATGCCTTAGGTGTTTCGAGTGTCCATGGGCGACACCGATTGTTTACCATCAGGTCGTTCCGTTTCGTTCCGTTTGCCCGTTTACGATCTGATAAAAAAAAATAGATTTTTTTTAAACGTGGCCTCAAAATAGCACTGTATGAATTCAAATTAGAGTTGTGGATGTATTTATTTATGTACACTTTTTGCACAATGGGCATACAATGACGGATTGAATGCCTTGTGGCATTCTCTAACAGTCAATCTTAGGGTGATGCAGAGAGATACAATAGTCGGTGATAAAGTTCAACATTGTTGATTTATATTTACAAACATACAAATTCATATCAATCATAAAAACAGACCAAACAAATTCAGAAACCAATACATTCACCCAGCCCTAGACCAATAATTTGTGGATCGCACAAAACTTATTCCATGAAGAAATTAAAGCTGTGGCTCATCATTCAATTGCCCAGTCATTGCGTCCACTGTGCAGTCATAATTTAATGTGATGTTCCAACTTTTCCAGGTCAGGTAGAAAGTGACCCGGATTCAAGACGAGCCAGTTCAAGAGGACTAATTCCTAGAGCGAAGATCAAAAGTGTCAAAATGACATTCGTTATTGTTTTCGGTGGGTATATTTAGATTGTCTGATATATTTTCGTTCGTTGCTTCTTTGATGGTTTGTAGATCAACTATCTCATGGCGGTGGCCGAGTTATTCTATTTTAGTTAATGTTTTAAATGTATTTTATGAGTTTGTAATGAGCTTTCGTGTGTGTTTATTATGATTCATATTAGAATAGCTATGGCGTAATAACATGTGTGAGGTATTAACTTACTGAATAAAATTATTAATCTGTCGATTTAAAGATTTTTGTATGTCAGTCATTAGTGTAATACTTCGTATAGTGCCACTATAGTGTTTATTGAGAATTTCAATACTTAGCTTTCCCATTGACAACTGTCAAAACAGAAAAAATTCTAACTTTTAACTTTTACAAACAAATAGCCAAAATTGTCTCTATCCCGAAGTTTAATTTTAACCTAAAACTACAATAACAATTTCAACCTTCATGATTAAATAATTAGGTCCTCATTTGTATTCGGATAAGTTTATTACCGACTCATTAATATTTAATCAGGCTAACAATCGGAGCGTATAAAGTTCACATTGACCGTTCACTGAATCATTTTGTGATAATGAAACAACTTTAGTGGAAACTGTTTAATTTTCATGAAAAAGTATCTACTTACCATATTAATTAGCTCTATGCGAAATGAGTTATTTATTTTGTGAACCTGTTGTAGAACTAAATGGTTATAAAATGTATCATCTAGTATGTAATCGCAAAAAAAAGAATCTGGATTGGGTCGACTTTCAAATTACCCAAATCAACTATTTTTTTTATAAGTCAGTATGCAACTATTATACATGTTATGTTATGTAACTATTTTTTTTATAAGTCAGTATGCAATTTAATTTAAGTATTTTGTTCGTCCTTTCATGTAAATGGACATGGAGTATACTAGTATACGCCCTGTAAACAAACCTGTACCTAATTTAGGGAGTGTCATATTGACTACTGATTAAACATTACTCATTTCCTACTCCTCCTTTGAACCGGAGCCACGGTAACCTGTTAGGCCATCCGCAACTCCGAGACTTGACTGCAAGTATTAATTCTTGGTCTAATTGAAACAAATTCTTCAATATTTATCGATTTACTGCTTTTCCTCCGCAGTGTTTGTGCTGTGCTGGTCTCCATACATCGTGTTCGACCTCCTACAAGTGTACGACCACATACCACCGACGCAGAACAACTTGGCCATAGCCACCCTCATCCAGAGCCTGGCACCGTTGAACTCAGCAGCCAATCCTTTAATATGCTGCATGTTCTCCCCTCACATTTATACTAGCCTCAGGTAAATATTAACATTACAATGATAATAATGATATTAACTCTAATGGATAAGACCACACAAACAATATTTTAGTTTATTTATTTTATTTTCAACACACACTCATGATATTCTATTTATGTATGTTTATTTATATTATCAAAAACAACACTAATCATTATACTCACAAGTTATTACTCACTACATACAAATTCATACTCAATTTCAGACGAGTAGCACCGTACAAGTGGGTATAACTTTATTTGCAGACGGGTTCCGCCTTATAAATGGTTGTGGTGTGGTCGACGACGCAAGCGACATGCTCGAGGAACGGTCCGCTCAAGATCTGACTCAACAGCCAACTCCGATCTGCTAAGTTCCACTCACGCGAGAAGATCACATTCTGTCGCTACGGTAAATATCAAATTCAAATATTTTATAGAAAATAAAAGAATATTGTCCTATTTGGGTGCCAATAACATTGTTGGCGCCCAAAGGGGACCAAATATTATATTATTAACAAAAAAATATTCAACTTGTCTACTATCTCATCGATAAACAAAGTTTAATTTCAGCCGTCATTTATACATTAGGCGTGCAAAAAAGACAATAATATATAAAATTCATCAGTCAATACATTTTTAACAATAAAATTGTTGACACCTAATTTTTATGCGCTGAATAAGTGCATAAAAAACAAATTACTAGAAGAATGATACACTTATTTACTCGTTTCTATTTTCCAGATACTAAACCGAGGCCGAAGCAGTAGTGTAACCAGGGCGCCAGTAGACACGCGACGCACTCAGCTCTTGGTGCTGGTGTCATCACGCGACTGACAACGAGCTGTGCACGAGCCCGCCAGAGACGTAATGCTCTAGCGCCAGTGCATGGCGTGTGCACGCTCACACGCCGCTAGTGTATACAGAGGCAATTTTTAAATCCCCTGTATCTAACTAGCAAGATTAAAAAAAAAATGGTTGCCTGTAAAGTCGTTTTTACGGGCGAAGATTTTACGTGACAACGTCTTTTTCTCGGTAGAATATTTATTGATATGAATATAATTAAATTGCACAATAGGAACAAGGAATTGAATGAACTAGTGCTGCGCGCGCGGCAGACCGATCATAGTTGAGTGAGAGAGAGACGCAAGGCATTCGGCGGGCCTCTCTCTCGTTCGGTGACTCATCGTAACGTTACCGAGCGTTACACTTTTTCATAAGTGACTCCCAGCCGCAACTCAGTTTTAAGACGTTGTCACGTCAAAAACTGAAGAGGTTAGTGACCTCTGAAGGTTCGTTAATTATAAAAGGCATTTTAAATCGTGTACTTCCTCGGTAAATCTTATATTCAAATTGTATAAAGTATCAGTAGGTAAACAATGTGATCTTTTTGTATTTTCTTGGCCTTCCACTATAGGTCAGTGGACGAGTTAAGGCATTGTTCAACGTACATAAAAAAAAAATTATTTCACCTATAGAAGTGATTTTTGGGAACCTTAAATATTAAAAAATAGAAGCAGAATTTGAATTTAAATACAAATTAAAATATAATCATTTTGTGGAACAGTTTCAAGTCTAGTCATGCATCGTTTAACTTATTTATTTTTGTGATGTAAGGTAAGATTAAAGCATTTATTTACATATTTCATTTATTTTAGTTTTAAGTTACGATGTAAGAGCAAGTTCTTTTTGCTACATTTGACAAAGAAATATGAACATTTTGTACAACTATATCATTATTGAACTTTGAAAAAACTTAGAAAATAATTTAATAAAAATAATAAAGTATATTTCAACATTTAGCACGAATTTGTCAAAAATTATTCAACAATAATTGAATTAACAAACGAAAATTCCTTATTTTCCATAAAAAGTAATTTTTAAATGCTAAAATGAATATTTATAGAAAATAAAATTAATTTAAATGTATATTGGAACGATAAATAAGATAAGTAAAGAAAAGAAATGCCAAATTCTAATCGAATAGTCGTTAAATAATTATGAAAATTATTCTTAAAAAAGAATGAAATGTAAGTTAATGGAACTGAAAAATATGAAACTATTATAATTAGTTATATTACATATTAATATATAAAAATTATATGTATTTTAAGTATAATTAGTACCCGTTTAAATAAGTATTAAATATCGAGATTTGTAATATAATATTCAGTCATTTTAGCTTAAGTATTGTAATCATGTAAAATTGTAAAGAGGCTTATATCAAATCGCGTAGTTTGTATTTACAATTATTTTTGTACTGTGAATAATTATACTATTGTAAAGAACTATTATCTTAAACTGTATTAGTAAAGCTATTAAATGTTGTATCAGTGAAAATTATTGTTTTTTTTATGGCGGTATACAAGCAGACTAATATCACCTGATGGTAAGCAATCGGATGGGATTGGAGAGATTCGGTAATACGGACTCCGGTAACTTCACTCACTCGACGAAACACAACGCATTTAGGCGAATTTATTTTATCCGTGATATAATACAAACTGTAATTATTATTTTTTATATCTGCAGCTTATAAAACAAATGTATAGTCAGAACAAAAAGTTTTGTCATATATAATCTATGCTATGCACATATAACGCTAATGCAGTAATGCTTAATAGCAAATTATATATTAATTTTATGACTCTATTAAAATAGTGTCACTTTCTAAGTCCATTATAGTCCCACAACCAAATTCCAAGTTTCAGTGCTTTTTATTCTATGCCGGGTACTACTAACGCCATCTATGACACAGCGTTAAAACTACACACACTTACGTGCTTCTACTGCTTCAAGTACATTCTGTAGCTGATCATTGTTTTAGAGCCCTCTATAACTAACAGTTTTATATTTTGTTTGTAAAACTATCTTTCATTGTTTGTATGATAAGCCATGAAATTAAATAATTGAAGATTTTTTTATTGGACTGAAGCAACAACTAAATTGTTTTGGCAGTAAATAAAAAAACATAGATTTGGAAAGTACCTTCTTGAATATTTTAATTGAAATTGATTATTATAGATATCACAATTAGAATTACAGAATTCAGTATAAGTCCTTTGTGAAAAACTAAAGGTTGTATACTGTCGCGGAGAACCGGAGAAGGAAGGAGAGAGAGGAGAAGGAACGGAGTGGTTTTTAGTTAGTAAGAGTCTGACACTCTCACCCGCCTCACCCAGGCGGGAGCAGTCATTCGATGATTTTCCCCCCTTAAAAAAAAGGTTGTATACTAATTACTAATAAATACCAAATATAAACTTAAGTACTTTGACACCTAATTCTATCTGCAACAATATTAAACTTCGAATCAATAATATTTTCTACTGCTAACCAAAGCATCATAAAACCAGGACTAAATTTTTAAGCTCAGCTATGTTATCACAAAAATATAGCCTTAAAAAGCCGGCTAAGCCTTCACATGTTTACTTACGACTTGTGCTAAGACCTAGACTCAGTCTAGACTCCAGCCCACGATTTAAAGGCTGGATTTAGTCTCAAATCTAACGTATAAAAGTATTTTATATTACTTCATATAAACTTTCGTCATTTTCTCAAGTATTTGTTATGATCGTAAAGTGTCTTAATGCTACTAAAGTTATTTTGAAAAGGTTTAGGATTTAAAAAGAAGTTTTATTTCTCGGTTTTAGTTGTTGATTTGTAGGATTACTAGCGACCCACCCCGGCTTCGCACGGGTGTCACAAGTCACAATATGCATGTATTAGAACCTATCGGGTTACCGGGACTCCGGTTCGGAGTGCAGGTGTAGGAACGGGGTGGTTTTTAGTCAATAAGAGTCTGACACTCCCTCTCGCCTCACCCAGGCGGGAGCAGTCATTCGATGATTTTCCCCCTTCAAAAAAATATATATAAGCCTTCCTTAAGAATCTTCTTATCTATTAAAAAAACCGCATCAAAGTTCGTTGCGTAGTTTTAAAGATTTAAGCATACATAGGGACAGATAGACGGCGCATAGCGACTTTGTTTTATACTATGTAGTGATACGTAATGAATTTATTTACAAAAGAATAAACAAAGACGATAATAGACAAACCATGAGTTATTTTACTAATTCGTATAGTATCGTAACTCTATGAAACTGGTGTTTTTGAACAATATTAGAGTATTAGTTTTACACCATAGACATAACATAACGCCTTTTATCCCTGAAGCATTAGGCAGAGGTGCACATTACGGCACAATGTAAAATCCACTTTTATTTATGTTATGAGTCCCATGTAATAGGGGGTGAGCCGATTGCCAAATACTAGGCACATTTCCAGACTCTGTGCTACTACAGATATTTTTTTAAAAATCCAGTAGTAGGTACTATACCCGTTTTACACCAGAGAATAAAGAAAAACCCTTTTATAAACATTGTGTATTCATTTAACTGTGTTCAAAAATCTGATGTAAAATGTAAAAGTACCTATTAGTGTGAATATTTTTTAATAACTTATTTGCTAAATTACTAGGTGTTTGAAAAATTGTGTCCAATACCCAAATCTGATTTCAATTCCCACTCATATGTTCTAAGATATTAGATTTATAATCGAGATTATAAGGAGTGTTCATTGGAAGTAGGTCAAATCACAAGGGAGCATTGATAGTAGTAGGAAGAAGTTTTGATAAACAATAACAACAATATAAATATTTGGGGAAACCCATAACTTGGGCTAAAGTTAAAAGTAAACACAACATAATAACTAGCTTATAATTCTCAAGAGAATACGCAGAAGTAAATAACGTAGGTAAATTTATATATTTAGTGGAAACTATCGTTTTTTTTCTTCGCCTCTTATAATATCTTCTGATTCACTTCGTTGCGGGAACCAAGACAGTTATTCATGTCCCTGGGACGCGCTGGACTTCAGTTTTCCGGTGTTTTTATGGGTTGTATCTACTATAGATCCTCGCTTACAGGAGTTGCAGCGGTTTTGGGAGGATGTGACGAACTTGTCCCTAAAAAAAAATCGTAGGTAAATTTAGTTTTGATATGGGAATATATTAATATTATCAGAGGGTTTTGTCATCACCATTGATGTCATCTCTGGTATCATCAACAATATATATGCCTAAAAGTGCCCACTGCTAAGCCTCTTTTCACATGGAGAAGGTTTGAGCATTAATCACCACGCTTGGTCATTGCGGGTTAGCGATTTCAAACTTATGATTAGAAATTATAAGTTCGTTTCATTATGATGTTTTACTTCACCTTTTGTCAGTGTTGTCAAATAATGATCTTAGAAAGTACGTATTGTCACATTGGTCATATTGGTACTTGTACCAATAACTTTATCCGAGTTTTATGTATAGCAAACTGTTGGTAGGTTTCAAACCCCTTAAGCATGACAAGTGGGGGCTTAAACTTCAGGCCACCACGACACTCTGCTATATAAAAATTTAGAAAACTGATTCAGAAATTAAATCTTAGAGGTAGAACTCTTATAATGGCATACCTTAAGGATACGAAACGTTGTATTCATTTAAAATATTTATTCGAAAAATTCTTTTTTCAGCTTTACTTAACGATTCATAAAAAACAATTCTTCAAGTACAATTATTACACAACTCGATACTGATCATTTTCCTTGTCACATTTTATTCTTGAAATTCATATTCTGTTTCACGCACGTGTGAGTAATTTATTCTTTTCGCATCGCCACTCGCTAGGTGGCAGCACCATCGACTAGGAATTCCAAATTAAGAATGTAAATGTGTGAATAAAAATAGAAAATGTTCCGTCGCAAATGTGGCTTGAATTCATTTCATTTTATTTTTGTATTTTTATTTTGTTATGGAGTTTAATGTTTTGTTAAAAATCGGTTGACTTTGTTAACGAAAAGAATATGGTGTGTTTCAAACTCGGTAGATACACAAATACATATCGCTAGGTCTTTAACTTATCTATGCCTGTGAATGTATCAATTTTAATGACCTTATACCTATCAAATTGTCCCGAAGAACCTAACA